TAAATTTTTGTCCTTCCTCTGTATTGCTGCACCCTTGGACCCTTGCTGCTGACTATCAATGGTTAATGTTGCATATGCACATTGTATTCTGTTCTATTTGCCCTATTATGTATTATTTTAATAAATGTCAATTATATCAAATTAGTGAATGATTTTGTTCAAGTTTTCTATATTCTTACTGATTTTATGTATTTGTCAGGATTATTGATCTATCTATATCTATGTATCTATCTCCTGATATAATTGTGGATTTATTAATTCTTTGAATTCTAATAGTTTTGCCACATATATTTTGGTGTACTGTTGTTAGGTGTGTACATGTTTAGGATTATATTTTCTTACTGAATTTACCCTTTATTACTATATAATGGTCCTATTTATCCCTATTAATTTTCCTTGTTATGAACAACAATTTTGACATGAATATGGTCACTCTACCTTTCTTTGATTTGATTACATGGTACATTTTTCTGCACCCCTTTATTTTTGGTTAATCTGTACAATATTTAAAATGGGTTTTTATAGTCAGAATAAAGATGGTTCTGATTGTTGTTCCAATCTCATATCATCTGAGTTCAGATAGGAATGCTGAGACCACTTATATTCAATATAATAATTTTATGATTACAACTTGTTTATTAATTTTATTTTCTAGGCTTTGATTACCCTTTGTTCCCTTACTACCCTGTTCCACATTTCTGTTATCTCCTTCTATTCTCTTTGCCTTTAGTGTATTATTTCAATTTCTGAATATTCTGATATGTTCAATTTTGTCACTAACTTGTGTTTATTGTTCATTCTAAGGATATGCATTTCTTAGTTTAACATCAGAGCTGGTTAGCATTTCAAATGAAATATAGAAGTGCTACAGCCACAGAATTTTATGTTCCTCACTTTATTCTATAATTATATATGTATAGTTTTATATATATATGTGTATGTGTGTGTGTGTATATATATATGTATATATGTGTATGTGTATGTATATACATACACATACACAATCTTTAGGAGAGAAAAGTATTCTATTTATTCAGTTATTTGTGATTTCAGTTGTTTTTCTTTTATTCTTGAAGCTACAAGTTTTCCTCTGGTAATACTTTTTGATTTTTTTTCCACCTGAAACATTTCCCTAGCATTTATTTCAGAGTAGGTTTTCTGGTGATAAATATGCCAATGGCTAAAAGACAGAATGTAGGAGAGGGAACAGATTTTGGGGGAAAAAATATAATTTAGTTCTAAGCAGGTTGATTTTGAGATTCTGTAGCAAATACATTTGCCCATTCAGTCCATAAACCTCTTCTTGCCTTTCTTTATTCCAGAGGCTAAAAGCTAAATATTCACTTTTATTACCTTCTCTAGTAACTCAAGTTACTATTGTAACAATTGTCAAGCCAATGACATGGTCAAAGATATAGCCCTCATCTGCCTCGGCCTTCTTTCTGCCCTAAATTTGACATGTAAGAGCTCTGGTGATCCTTATGATCATCAGGCAATAAGCATAAGGCGAATGGCAGAAAAATCACTCAGTCCTTGATTTTAACAGGTTTGGAGTTAAGAACCAATGCCAACAACTGCTTCTTTTTCATTTTTGAGGTCATTTAAGCAAACTTGCCTATTTTCTCACATCTAAATGCATCCTGACCTTATCCTCTGTTGGAATAGGGTTTTCTGAGGGAAATGAGCAGGTTGATTTGGCTTTGCCTACAGGTCTCTGATGCTCCACCACGACCTCAGGCCTGCGTGAGACTGAAATCACTGACTCTAGTCATCTGGGACTCCGCTCCAAAGCAGTTGTTGCCAAGGAAGATTATCAACAAGGAACCAGGACCCATGGTTCCTAAATGCCAGTCCTATTCTTTGAACTCGGTCTTGCTCTCTTCATAAAAACTATCTCCAGAACCTTGTTGAAAATGCAAGCCACATGGTTTGTGATTCCCACGTAGCAGTTCTGGAGGGAAGCCCAGAATCAATCATCCCCCCCATGTGATTCTGATGATTAACTAGGTTTATTCTGCTATGATAGTGCTTGAACTGGACTAGAGAGTCCCATTTAGAAATTTAATGCTACTTAATTTTACTATCTCTCACATTCCTGTCATTTATAAAATGTAACAGCATCCAAATGCCAATGCTATCTGATAATGCTTTATGCTTTTTCTCCATTATTAATATTTCATAATGCTGTGCTTTCCTTCTAAAAGTTTAAATATGCTCTCAATTCTTATTTTTTGGGGGGAGGGGGATAAAACTCTCCCCACACCCTCACCTCCAGAGAACACACTATGTGACTTTACTTAAATCTTGCCTTTCTCCAAAAGAAGACCACTTCTTTTGCAGATTTTCCAAAAGATGGTATAAAGCACAGGGCCTAAAATTAAGGCTATCATTTTTCTAGATACCTAATTTTGCTTCTACACAATTGTTTATTCTTGTATGTGAAAAACATCTTGGTTCATGACATCCATTTTAACATCACTGGTATCCATGCAGGTCTACTTTCCATGGATAATTTCAGCCTTGAATTTCAAAATGTTCTTCTCTAGTCCTGAATCATGTCATATGAAATGAATTTAACATCCATGTGAAAGGCATAGTCAACCAAATTAGTCTTAAAATTCACTGATGCCTCATATCTTTAGTAAATTCTATTTCTACACCATCTCGAATGCCTTATGATTACAATGATGTCTAGAACTCTTGTCTTAGAAATTGTAAAGCTCAACGTTTTACAATTTGACCACAACTTTCCCTTGAATGTTCAAATTTCCTAATGTTTACACTCCAAGTACAATTACTTTTTTTTTATCCTTCAGTAGTGAATTTTTAGAGGTCTTTTAAGTGCTTACTACAAAATCTGGCATTTGTCTTCTGAATATTTATTATGGCCCATTCACCTTGGCCTTTATCCCAGTATGTGGATCATGGGCAATTAGGGAAATGACTATAGTTCCCAGAGCCAATGATGGAGAGAAAGTTCATGTCAGAAATGACAGTGGGGTCTTATTACAGGCAATGTCAACTCCCAAGCTCCACCCAAGAATGTTCCTGTGCAAATTCATAATGTCAATACAGTTTCAATGGCAGCTACCCAGCAGTGAAGAAACCCCAGCTGATGGCTGATTTCATTGCCTGTTTTGCTTTTGAGGGTAATTAGCTAGACTGGCCAATGAACAGAGCTAGTTTAGCAGGCCCAAATTTTCTGCAGAAAACTATAAAACTGAGAAGTATAAAAATATTGCTAAAGTGATCAGGGTCAGAAATTAAATGTCTCATTAAGTATCAAGCACAGGCTGGCTGTGCTCTGGATCCAGGAAACCACACAGGGTAAGAGAGGGGGAGTTTTAGAAGAGATGGGAACTTAAGAGCAGTCAGCAGTTGAGTTGGCTTTGCCTGCACCTAACCCTGTGTTCTACACTGATTATTTGCATCTCTTCTGATAAACCAAATCTTCTTTTAGTGAAAAGGCATTGAGGTTGATGCTTCAGTTATTTCCTTCTAAAATTTGGAGGAATCTGCCATCTGTTCCCCTGAAGTTCTCTATTTGAATGATCTATCTTTCAGTTTATGGTATTGTGATTTCTTACCTGATCCACACTGATAATACAAAGATGAAAAACACCATGAAGTGCTCCAGTGTTAGAAAGGGCTGTCATCAGCCCCTGTCTTGGTCTAGATGACAAGATATACATATCTGTATGCTCTATCCTACCAGCAAGAGTGCTGTTTAAAAATCCAAGCAAGACACAGAAACAGAGATCTTTGCTTGGTCTCAGGAAAGCCAGTACATCTTTTTTTCTGGTTTTGAAATATCAGTTACCACAACTGCCATATTTTTGCATCAGATTAGAACTTAGAATCCCTCTTGACAAAATAGCTACAATTGTTTGGAAATGGTTTAAGGTGAACCCAAGGGTTCAGGAGTTGGAAGTTTGGTCCCTAGCGTGTCAATATTAAGAGGTGATGAAACCTTTATAAGGTACAACTCAGTTGGAGGTCACTGGATCCCTAGAGGCACTACCTTTCGTTGGAGTAGATGCAGATATTGTGGGATCCTGGTTAGCTCTCATGAAAGGGTTGTTATAAGAGAGAAAGCCCATCTTTCTTGCTTCCTGTTTCAACATATGACTTTCTCCCTCTTACACACTTTCGTGCAATCATGCATTAACCATGAAGTGATTCTTCCATGGGACCCTTACCAGAGTCAATCAGATGGTGGCACTATGCCTTGGAACTTCTAGAACTGTGAGATAAATTAACCTCTTTTCATTATAAAACACCCAATCATGGGTATTTCATTATAGTAACAGAAAATGGACTAAAATAAAAGCTATCTTTATTCTGCTGCATTGTACCACAATATAATAAAATTTTAAGGAGGAATATTGTGGTGTGTATAGACTTATACATACATTGGCTTTTTAGATTAAATTCTTATTCTTGCTTGGTAGATTAACCAAATTATAATTTTAATAATAATTTTTTTCCTTTGTTAACTGGGTAAATGAGGAATTGAAATTATTCAGTTAAAGGCCAATAAGAATATATTTTAGACATATGTGATTTATCAATATATTTGTTTCAATCTTAATTGAAAATAAATTATAACTAATTTTCCCTCCATTTTGTGTCTTGCACTGAAAGAATCAAGGTACTACTTCAAGAAGACCATTTCAACTATATGGAAGCCAGTGTCTACCAATCTCCTAAAAGGCACGGAGTTAAGAATTAACTAGCCAGTATAAACATTGCTACAAGATTCAATTCTGCAACTAAATTACCCCATTCAGTCCTTTACAGCATCAGAGTCTGTGAAAAATAGCCCATCTTCACTTTCAAAATAGATCCAGTCACTGTTAAACAATGCATTAGAACAATGAAAAATATCCCATATTAAAACATCAGGCAAAAATCCTGAGTAGTTCAAAGTCTGACAACGTTTAAATTGCACTGTATTTATTTTACACAATAAGGATCAAAATGAAAGAAAAAGTTCTTACCATGCACAGGCAAGCAGCCTGAACTGAAAGATATGTCGTCAATAGCTATGACTACATCCTGTTCATGAGTTGCAATCATTTGACCTTGAAAGACAACCTGCACAAGAAGAGCAAAACAGAACAAAACACAAAGCAAAAGAACATCAGTGTTACAGAAGAACGTCAACAAGTAAGAAACATGCTACTTAGAAGCACTTGAGTTATCATCATGCCAATTCCAAGAAAAAGGAAAAATAGTCTCTAGGACAAGAAAATGTGCAGTCATCACTGTACCACACAGATGTCTGGCACAGGTTAGGTAACATGTTTGTGAAGTGAAACAAAGCTTATCTGATTTCTATCCCGCAACCATCTTCCATGTTTATTCCCCACGTGGCCTTCCCATGTGTTTAGCAATTACCAGTTTTTGTATACAGGTTTCATTTTAGCATCTTTTTTTTTTTTTTTGGTACTAGAGATTGAACTCAGGGGCACTCGACTGCTGAGCCACATCCCCAGCCCTATTTTGTGTTTTATTTAGAGAAAGGGTCTCCTGAGCTGCTTAGCATCTCACTTTTGCTGAGGCTGGCTTTGAATTCGCCATCCTCCTGCCTCAGCCTCTTGAACCACTAGGATTATAAGCGTGTGCCACCACACCTGGCTCTGGTTCTTAGCATCTTGCAACCATTCCCCATTTTCACTTCTGATTCTTGGCATTGGATTCTCAGTATTGCCTTTGATATCCTCAGTTATATTCTTGTACCTCTTGTGCCATTATCAACACATAGCTTTGAGATATCAATGGAAAATGCACTGTTCAGCAACTTGTTAAAATGACTGACTTCTATGCTGTGATATGGAGCCAGCCCAAGTCTACACCAGGAAGAAATATCCTCATATGATTAATCCAAGAAATCTGGAAAGAAGTCACTGTCCAATTTCTAATTGCCGAATAGAAGGTTGGTGTGTTAGTATACTGAGTTTTATTCTGCCTCACTAATGAATACCAATGCTCTTTGAAAACTCATCCATAGATGTATTCAAAGCATATGTATTGTTCAAACTTGCTTACAATATAAACACCTTTATTTCAGAAACTCAGTGCTACTTCTTAGGTCCACAGTTGGTGTGGATACAGTAAGCCATAGCAGATCATAGTGCTGTGCCTTATTCACTTTTGTTCTTGTCCAACATGTCATTCTAACATATTTCTTTCCAAACAGGAGTCACTTCTAATTCATAATATGCTTTGTTTTTTCCTCAAATTGGATGCCTTACCTCACTCGTGTTCCAACCGTGTTACCTGAAGTCTGCTTCTTCGCAATGCTCACAACTCCAAAATGGCCTTTAGAATTCCATTCTCTTCTAGTGCCATGTCCAATCAGATCCCTTAAGCCTATTTTTCTTCCATTCCTATCACCACTCCTGTACCCCCTTGCCCAACCTATTAAATTTTAAATTACTTTTTGCCTTAATCCTATTGTTAGGGTTTGAAACAGATATTCTGCACTTATTTGATTCTGTTACATTACATGTTAATTTGGTATAACTGAAGACAACTTACTGTGAAAACTGGCTGCCATTTGAGCCCAGGAACTCAGCAAGAGGAAAACACTTTTTTTTTTCCCCTCAGAAAAAGAACTATTTCTCTATATGTAGGGAGATTTACTAATGGCTACAAAACACAAAATTCATCAGGAAAAATATAAACAGCCTAGGTAAATAGATTTTCTAAAAAGATTTTCCAGGGATTTGGGCTAGGATATGACAAAATGGCGGAAGATACAGGTCTCAGGAAGAATCACCAACAGTCAGAGGCTGAGCTGGCTGCAGGGAGTAGCCTTTCTAGGAAAAGTTGTGTCTTACTTATCTTGTGTTTTCTAAAATTTTGTCAAATATTTTCTCCCCAAACACTCACCTCATTTTGGTGATGTTGGGGATAAGTTTTAAAAGAAGCAAAGTAGCACAAAAAAAAGAAAGAAAGAAAGAGAAAAAGAAATAGAAAGAAAGGGAAAACACACACACACACACACACATGTACACACACACAAGCAAATCATAAAGGGGTAATGGAATTAGGATCTTGGCAACATCTCAGGGATCAGACACAGCCTGCACTGACCCCTAGTAAACATGAGGCAACTTTCTTTTTCCCCAAGTATTTTGAAAAAAGATGACCCCTGAATGTAGAAAGAGGGGTCAATGCCAAACCATTTGATTTAAATGTTAGAGGAATCTGCAATGGAAAATGAGTCCCGGACATAGGGCCACTTAAGTTACATTAGTAACAACATGACTAGAAACTCATAATCATATGTATTGCATTAGAGTTGTCTGTAATGGTAGTATGCATTCAATTTATTTCCAAACATCAGAAGAGTCCAGTAATTTTCCCCATCATGAGTTCATATAATAAATAGTTTTGGATTATAACTTTGAAAAAAGTGAGGGTAGAACTTTAAAATTAAGGAACAATTGATATTTTTAATAAATGACTCATTCTTTGGTTTTTATTAATTAAGTCAATTCTTTCTAAGTAAAAGGCTGCTGAGAGCTCTTCAGTGTTTTTAAATAAAATATCAAAAGAATCACAAGGAGATAATAGCATATTTAAAAACTGTTTCAGAGCTGGGGCTGTAGCTCAGTGGTAGAGCACTTGCCAAGCATGACAAAAACCTGGGTTCGATCTCCAGTAAAAAACAAAAAAAGTCTACAATTCACTATCATTTAGTTTAACAATCCAAACTACCAACTTGAAAACTACAGTGATATGTTAGTAATATAATATTTATTCCTTCCTATAAGATCCCTTGAACAACCACCACCAAACTTTTAAAAAATCTTCAGACAAAGGGGTGAGGCAGATTTCATTTGATTTTGTAACTGAATTTTACTGCATACTTGATTTGTTGTATTCTTTGCCTTCTTGAAAAATTTAGAATAATATAAACTTCACTGCTTACATATGCAAGTTTTATAAACATGATTGAGATTCCTCACCACCATGTAATGCCTAACATTATTCCTCCCAACATGGCCAACAAGACAGAAGAATATTTAATAAGTTAAATGCAACAGATTTGACCCAATCTGGAGGCTTTGTTCTTTCTCTTTTCTCCCATGTTTTCTAAATTCCCATAATGCTTTAACATGATACAGAAAATTATTATGGCTTAGTGACTAAGTGATTATCTGAAATGAAACTACACTAGATTCTAATCTGATATGGGATTTAGGAGGTCATTCACCTCTTGAAGTTTACAGTCCTCCTGTTAACAATGGTGTAAATCATCATTCTACCTGAGAGGATTTTCTTGAAAGGCCAGTTAGATTATGTGTAACAAAAGACTCAACATAATTTCTCACACATAAATGCTCAACAAGTGCTAGTTGTTATTCCTTTAATGTCTTCAGGAACTTTCTGAAATGCTGCCACCTATGCCATTGCTTGTTTATATGGTTGTATTTTTTCAGAAATTATCCTCCCTCAATTTTATTAAGGAATAAACCTAGAATTTTAAAGATGAACACAATAAAGTCCCCAAGCGAGAGCTAACTCCAGACGCTTTTTCAAAAGTCCATGCTAAGCTGGAATCTAGCTGGGCTTTTAACTACCAGAAGTCAGCATGGAGGGGAAATTACAGAAAACAGAATAATTCTCAGGGGCTCATGAGTTGATGAGGCAGCAAATGCTGTGTGGAGATGCTGATTACACAATTCCCTCAAATAAGCCTCTGACGAAAGCTTTTCAGGAATAAGATACTAGAGGGTGGCAGGCTGTATTACCAGCGCAGCACATCTCTGTGGCCCACGGAACAATAGCAAATGAACATCTGCTCTCTTGCTGACAGGATAAAACCAAAACATACCTGCAGTCTTAAAAGATTGGTGTAGTCGAAGGATCCCAACAGAATCGCACAGTTTACTGTTTTACCCAGTCTTTAAGGTAGAAGCACTGTTCCTATCAGCAATAAAGTTATTTGGGGAATTCTTTTACCATCAACTCTGTTTAGAAGTTTGAAATGATGTATAAATAACGACAAAGCATGTGGGTGTGGACAAGCTTCTCATCTCAGTCCTTAAAGTTGATATAGTTTTGGAGAGAAAAGGCAATTCAGCAAATGCTCCCTCCCAAATCTAGTCGATGTGACTAAGTCCCCACAAAAGCACTCTTGGTTTAATTTTGTTGCTTTTGTTGTTGCTGTCTAGAAAAGACAGAAACCAGGGACCAAGAAGAGAAGGGTTAAAAAATAAACTAGAAACTTCTCTAGCAATTAATAACAAATGCCCGAAGTTTCACAGTGAACTAGAATATATTACCATTGTTCAGAGGAATTCATTCTGGATACCATACCTCACCAAAGCCACAAATGTGTTCTGGGTCCCCCCAAATGTCAAACATCTTCTTTTAACGTGGTACTAGTGAACTTCCTTGCCCAGTGCACCCCAAGTTTTACCTCAAAAGAATGACTCATTTGTAGGAAGACTTAAATGCCTGATGTCTTAAGTGCCTTTTACCCCCAATAAACACACATAGATACTTGACTTCAAGAGAATACAAAGTGTGGCTGGGCATGGTGACACATGCCTGTAATCCCAGCAACTTGGGAGGCTGCAGTAGAAAGATGGCAAGTTCAAAGCCAGTCTCAGCAACTTAGTGGGGCACTTAGCAACTCAGGGAGACCCTGTCTCTAAAAAAATATTTTAAAAAGATATGGGGATGTGGCTTAGTGGCAATCCCGAGCATCCACTCCCCCCAAAAAAAGTACAAAGTCTCAAACTACAGAATTGTGATTCCTCTTGTCTATGTGCCATTGGACCATTTACTAAATGATTTTTTAAATCTCCATTTGGTGCCAAATTTGATGCCAAATTTACCAACGCCAGAAAATTCCAATTTGGGTAATTTTATGATGTCAATTAAGAAAATATTCCCTTCTTATATCTTGTAATTCGACATTTATAATAAAGTATCTTGCTTATTTGTTTATGCTTTTCCTATTAATCACCCAAAATAGCTAAAGGCAATATTGAATTAAATTCATTCCCTATTTTAAACAAGTACTAAATTCATCACATATTAGATTATTTGCTGTAGAATGAAATTATTATTAAATCATAAAGTCAATTATTATATCATCCTAAATTGAAAAAGGAAACCTATGGGGAGTAAATTGATCTACAAACCAGGTTAGGAAGCTAATTGATTAGGAATAAAATACTTTAAGTGACAAATTTTGCTCAGCTGTCCCAACGTTAAAATATAAACCACTTTTCCAAGAACTCTTGAGATAATCATAGATTAAAATTTCCACCATGCCTAAGTATATTAAGCTGCATAAAATGTTTGTCTTATGTAGGCTTTCATTGGATTTAATTCTCAAAATTATTTAGGAAAATAAAGACCGTGATGAATCGAGCTTAACCATGAGATAAATGTGACAATTACTCTCTTTCAACAACATTCGGAATTAGTATTTAAGTCAACCAGTTTCTTTCCTCATTACCAAACATTATTCTCTTCTCTCAAAAGCATGAGAAAACTCTGAAAGGAAAATGATTCTAAGGGAAAAGAAATGAAAAGAAAGAGGAGGTTAAAAAAGCAAGGAAAACAGAAAAAATCCAAAAACAAATGGAAAATGACATTATATTTTACAAATACATCTACATATCTTAAAATGTATCCACTTTAATTTATTACACAGATTCAAGACTTCACTGTTAAACTCTCTGTGCTTTAGGGTGACCAGCACATATGTTCACTTTCAGTACTTGAAAGTCCTTGGAAATACCTCAGTCCCTGGCAAATTGAGTGAACCCTTTATTTTTAATTCACCTGTGTTAAAGATCTGGTTCTTGTCACTTTCCCTTCAAAAGCCATAGCTGGAGCCTGGAATAGACATACCTGAAAGTTCTTTGAACTCTGGATTTTGATGACATTTCTTTCCCATCGATTTTGGAGCTTGGCTGTGTTTTGCCATAAGTTCCCAACAGGACCACCACATTCGGTTTGAAGACCTACCATCAATTTGCCATTCACATGGCTCAAGAAGTGATAAAATGTAATCTGCAAAAAAAGAAAAAAGAAAATTATTACTCAAACAATTACAATAAAGAAATCTCTAAATATGACAAAGTATTTTAAATGCTGTTTACTTTCAAATACCTGACAAGCATGTTGGTCCTTAGTTGGAAGGAAAAGTCTGCTTCTCAAGTTTGAGGAATTACCATCCACTCTGGAGACCAGTGAGAGGAAGCAGGCTGAGAGAAGCAAGAGTCAGGACATGAGAGTCAGAGTGATTGCTGGCAAATATATTCGAGCCACCACTGGTGATTCATGGCCACATCCACATTAGGCCAATATGATTTTGTTTAAAGAATGAAAAACTAAACCACACTATTCGCTTTTGTAAATGGCCTAATTAGTACTTTTACTTCTAAATATTGCCCAGTGATATAACTAATTGTGATTGTACTCCCTATAATGTTACTACAGGCTACAGTCCACAACCCAATTTGACACATTGACATAGAAAATGACAACCCTGTAAAAAATGGTATCCAGTGCAAACATTATACTGAGCTTGCTTACCAAAATAAGCACTTCAATGAAGAATTCAAAAGAGATCATCTACTCTGGCTTTTGTTTCAAAAGGCTTGGATCAAATAGTCCCAGCTTTTTCCAGGAGTATGAGAAACAACTAAGCCCTGACAGTCTTGTGTTTGCTATCATGCAGATAAATGACTGTGGCTGTTTAAAGGCCGCAAAATATAGGCTGGGATTGTGGCTCAGCAGTGGAGCGCTCCCCTAGCATGGGCGGGACCCAGGTTCCATCCTCAGCACCATATAAAATAAATAAAAGCCATAAAATAAATATTGAACATTCTCTGGGCTTCCATAGATTTCCTGTAATGCTTTACAAGGGTTATAGTATATAATCTGGGAACCATTCTTTTCTGCTATCCACTATTTGGTGTGTTCTTATTAGCAAAAAGAAAAAAAAGAAAAAAAAGAGAGAGAGAGATAGGAAAAAAAATGATGCTGATGATTTTGATGACATATTTTCTGAAGTTATTCAATAGTATATTAGAGCTGGATTGGAAATCAAATCTAATTGTCACATCATTAAAAAAATGCATTGTAAAATTATGAAATCTAAGGAACTTCTTCCCTATTCTTATTCCAAAATTTTACCCTAACGAACCCAGAATAGTGATAACCTTGCTTGTACATAGAGACAGAGGCATAATTAAAATCACTGCAAAGAATATACTCTGGAATTATTTTATGTGAAATTCAAATGAAGAACTAGTAACATGGTGTAAGTGGACAATCATTAATTTGCTCTTGCAGCAGGCAAACATATTAAATAAGTATAATCAAATAATGAACATAATGAACCATATGGATATATTGTTTAAGGTTTAAAGAATATTATTAGCAGTACAAATGGTAATAGCATTTAGTAAGTTTTAATTTAGCTACTTAAAAAATCCATGAGATGTACAAGAAAAAATTTTTCATTTATAAAGGATATTAATCGTATTTTTTTAAATTTTGGTGTTACAAATCAGCTGTGACACTGATTTTATCAGTCATTTTATCCAAATGATTACATTTTAGGATTTCTTCAGCCATGTAAATGGCAAATTGATAGTAGGTCTTCAAACTGAATGTAGTGGTCCTGTTGGGAACTTAATAATAAAAATATTATTGCAAAGTTTAATAATAAGTTAGCATTTGCAATAATATTTTTCAAATTGCACTAGAACAAATTATTTAAAATTTTAAGCACAGCATTTTATAAATATAAACTGTCATTTGTTACATGCTACAGTGCTACAAATTATTCTGTGTTTTGTCAAATACTAAGTGAAGGTTAATCTTTGGGTTATAAGAGAAAGCAGAGTTTTAAATCTGGAAACAGCTTGAGTTCCTTTGACATTGGCCCTAATAATAAACTTTTCACTTTCATGAGAGAGAGGAAGAGGAAGAACAGAAGCAGCAGCAGTGGCATTGGAAATATACCCAACAGCAAGATCTTCTTTCTACCTTTAATTCCAAGTTAGTGACAAGAGCAAGTGTTTTTAGGGTACACTCCATTTTACCTTGCATCTTCTAACAGAGTAAGGAATTCAATTCATGGATGGAGATGTTTCTTGGAGAGGACTACTACCTGGCAAAACATTCTCTGTTTTTTTAAGAAGACATTAGTCATCATGTTTACTTATGAGAGAAAGAGGTAAACTTTAGGCAACAGAATGTTTTTCACCTATGCCACCTTTAGCACTCCATCCTCCTGGTAACTTTGACCATCAGAAAGAGACTATATAAAGCTCTTGGATAAGAAAAACTGCCTCATGTATCCAGTATTCTTTCCTACTCTTTGAAGCCACATAACAATATACCTGTTACACATACATACCACCCCCACACTTCCTTCTTCATCATCATATATACTGTTCATCTCTATACCACACACTTCTCAGTAAGTTATGTGATTCATCTATTTCCATTTTGTGCCTGAACCCCTAAAAGCAAATGCATAACCTATCTTTAAAACTCACGTATTAAAAAATCTTGTGATAATGTTTTTAATTATTAAATGAAAAAAAAACAGAAACACAAACATCAGGATTTCATGCATCTTAAATGCTTATGCTAGATGGCTTTTTAAAAAAATATTTTTCTCAGTAACTGGGTGTAGGAATGAAATTCTAACATAAACCAAGTTGGATGACACCAAAAGGGAGTGAATAAAATACAGAGGCAACAAATATCATGAATCAAGTTTTGAAAGCTAAATCAAATAACTTTGGCAATGGAACCCAGCAATCTTGACCTTTGGGAAAGATAAGGGAGAGATTTCAGTTTCACTTTCCCAACTATTCATAGGAAGACTTGTATTTCCTCCTTTTCCTAAGTTCTGAGTGATTAATGGGGCTGAATGTAAGCAGAAGAAACATAAATCCTATCACATGTGATATTGTAAGCAGTTGGCTCAAAGGAGCTAAAAAAAAGTGAGCATTTTAACAGTGAGATAATATCAGTTCTTAAGAATATTTCCCCCCAAAATAGCTGCAGGAACAGATCATCATAACAAGATGCAGGGCCTAAGGCAAAGGTTAAAGTATCCAACTTTATAAAGATGAGAAAAGTATGTTCATCATTGACAGAAATATGGCTGAGTTCAGAAAACAAAAAGGAAATGATAGTTTTAGATATAAATCCCTTCAAGTTGTGATTTCTAATTACTAATCTCTGTTTCTGTCAAATCATAAATTTTGTCTCATACCTGTTCATTGAACTCACAAAGCGCTACACTACCAGATAATACTTGAGAAAATTTTATCTCTTAGAGGATAAGTTCAAATAGTCATCCCTTATCATTGCTTGCAAATGCTATCTGAGTGTGGCCATATCAACTTCTGTCTGCCATCAGTGACAAAGGGCAAGGTGAGCCACTTTATAAGATCATAAAACATGCAGTAAAACATGAAGGTGATATTAGTGAAAATAACACCGTAAAGACCTCTGAAAATTTTCTCTTCCATAAAGGCAATTTTTAAAACTGTAAACATGGTCAGCATTTACTTTTATAGGGCTCTAGATAATAGTTAACCTAGAGATCTTCTAGTGAAGAAAAAAATGAACTTCAGTAAAAACAGAGAGTTTTATTTGTTTTGTTGTATTTGCTTTAGCTTGCCCTCATCTTGTAATACACTCTTGAGCTACATGGTAACTTTGAAAAAATAACATCCAGCATTCTCATGTGGCCGGCACACCAGAAAAGTAAAATTCAGTCAGAGCTCTGCCAAAACCTCATTTTCATATTGTTCCCATAATTTGGCCGGTCTGGTGGATCTTTGACAGACACCACTTAAAATGCTGTTGAAATTTAACATAATGATAACTCTCTCGTTGCAAAATATTTCTTCGTTGAAAGGATTTGCTGAAAACAACTAGTGGCAAGTGTTTTAACTTCACGGTTGTGAGGCAGAGTACAACACTTGAGGAAAATGATCAACTAATCATAAAACTCATAGGGACAAGATGTTGACTGGGGTTTTGAAAAGTTCCAGTATGTTCCTGCAAATCTGAAGGGATGAACGAGTTCATGGGGAGAACTTGTACATGCTCTAGAAGACCTGAAAATCTAAGCTCTCATCTCTAGCTGACCTTGAGTCTTTAGGAGAGCAGGAAATGAAAACCAGACAGAGTTATCAGTTTCATAGTAAGAGTTGAAGTTACAGCCCGACACAGATAGGACTCCTTCAGAAAGCGCTGAGATATGCATTGGTTCTAGGATGCCTGTTCTGAATGTTTGAGATGTCTTCCTTGAAACAAATGTGTTATAGCCTAATCAACACAGGATAGGAGTTAAGAGGTGGGGGCTGTTGGAAGTAGGGTCATGAAGGCAGAATACTCATGTATGGGAAAGGTATTCCTGAAAAAACTGCCTTGGCCCTTCCACCACATGAGGAAATAGAGTTTAGTGTATGAACCAGGAAGGAGCCTTCACCAGAGGCTGAATCTGCTGCATCCTTGATCTTGGACTTCCCAGTCTCTGGGACTATGAGGAATAAATTCGTGTTGCTTGTAAGCTACTCAGTTTATGGGATATTGTTCTAGCGATATTGTGTAGTGACTAAGACACAAGCATTTAAGGAATACTCTCTGAAATTATTATGTAATCAATAAGCTGACCAAATAGAGAATTTAGTAGCCCAACATGGCAAGAATAGGAGGCATACAATTTCCATAGGAAATACTGTTTAAAACGTGCAATTTAAAAAATAAAACAACTTGAGAAATGTAGAGAAATAAGAAAGTGTGATCCATACAGAGAGAGAAAGCCATCAAGATAAAGTATCTTTGAGGTAGGCCAATCTCATGAGTCATAGACTTCAAATCAACGATTACAAATATTTTGAAGAACTAAAAGAAACCAT